TCTGAATTCGTCAAATTTCTCAAAATTACATCTATTTTTTATTTTAAAATCTGATATAAATTTCTTATAAAATAAAAAAGAAGTTATACAAAATTTCTTGGAATTTTTAAAATCGTGTATATGATAAATTATATAATAATCTAAATTTTAATAAAATATATAATTTTTATTTTTAATTAAAATCTGTGAAGGTTTTTTTTAATCTTTAATAAAGAAAATAAAAATTTAGTTTTTACATGAAGTAACAAAGTTTGCACATTTATTAAATTGATTTTTACACAGGTTGTAAACTTTGAGGGAAAGCAGATCTAATTTAGTAAAATTTGTTAATTTGAATTAGTTTTAAAAATAAAATGTAGGAGGGAATGTATGAGAAAATGTAAGAGGTTTGGATAAGGATAATATAGTATTTTTAAATTTATATTTGAATATTTAATCCTTTTAAATAATTTTAATTTTTATAATCCTCACCTATAAATATCACTCCTTATTAATCCTTGTCTCTAATTCTTCCAAAAAACATTATTAAGTCATTTGAAAAATTCTATGAGATTGTAGAGAAACTGGATGAAAATTAACTTAATTAATTTCATAGTATTCATTTGAAAAATTCAATTAACTTAATAATATTCATTTGAAAAATTCTATGAGAGTATAAAGAAGGGAGAATCCTGATTAAATCCGGTTAAAATATCAAAATCCAAATTAAGACCTATATTTTTAACAAATCCTATTTAGGCCAATAGGCCTTATTAGAAATTTTTAAATATTATTAAAAGACTAAATTCCCCTTTTATAATTTAAATATGAGAGTATAATATTATTTTGAAAAAAATTAAACCATGAAAACTTGACATTATATAGTATTTATTTATACAAAATTTCTTACATAAAAAATTTGGAAATACTAAGAGCAAAACATTGACAATACGTAATATAATATTTTATACTAATTTTGATATATTGATAAAATTTATGGGAATAGGGACTTTTTTTTAGTAATGGGAATAGGACTTTTTAATTACTTGATTCCAACACCATGAAATTAATAATTTTTTTGAAGAAATTTTTTTCCTTATAGTTGAAAAATCAGAATCTTATAGTATTAGTATATTTTAGCATCAAATTTGTTGTTTTTTTTAAGTGTTTTGTTATATCTGCCATAAAGATGTTCTTATCATGTTATGTCTTATAATTTTATTGTTAAAATTCTTACTAATAATTAATATGAGTTTATATAGAAATCTAAATAACTTTTCTAACATTTCATGGGACGGATGGAGTAATATGAATTTCTTAATATAAATTACACAAAAAAAATCATATATTTTACTCTTTTAACAACACATAGGGTAAGAATACGTGAAGTTGATGGTTCATTTAGCGACATCCAATGAACAAAAAACCGGACCGGACCGGCCGGTTCAGACCGGAAACTGGTGAACCGGTCAGTTGTCCGGTCTGGTTTAACAACAAAACCGGAAGAAAATCGAACCAGAAAGAACCGGTGCAAACCGGTTACAACCAGCCAGCCCGCTGGTTTTGATGGTTTAGCCGGGTTGTTTGAAAGAAGAAGAAGAAGCACTTGAGACTGTTTCCCGCACACAGACAAAAAAAATTGACCGAAGAAGAAGAAAAACAGAAATAAAAAAATGACTGTTTTCTTCAGTTCCTCTGGTCCTGCATGTTCGTTTTGTAAATAAAAATAAAATTTATTCTCACCCTTCTGGTTCTGCGACTACATCTGAACAGAGATAAGGAAGGATGAAGGTATGAGAATGAAACAAAGAAGAGGGGAACGATGAACGAAGAACGAAGAAGAAAGAAATACTGAAATGGAGAGAAGAAGGAGAGTAAGAGAGAAAGCTATAAGAGCATGTGAATGCCTGATCCATCACGTACAAGGTGTGAAAAGACTGAATAATGAAAGGAAATGATAAAAAATGTGAAGTGGTTCAACCGGAGAAGCAGATCTCGAGAAATGTGAAAACTTAAAATTGAAAGTTGAATAAAAAAATTAGATTTCCACGCGGTTCAAGTTTCCCACGGAAAACCATCCTACAGGAATAGATGGATTTGACTAATGAGTACTTCTACCATATTATTTACTATATATATAATTTCTTAAATATATATTTTATTTTATATATTTTTCTTCGTATCTTTATTTTAATTTCTATTTAAAGTAGTTAATATATAATTTAAAACATAGCATTTTAATTATTACCGGTTTGATTACGGGTTGATCCTGATTTAACCCATTAACCCTTAACCCAGTATCTCGACCGGTTTAATTACCGGTCCGGTTTTTTGTTCCTTGGCGACATCACAAAAAAAAAGAAAGAAGAATTTAAGTCATAAATTGATTAGACCAATTACCAATTTGTTACTTTAAATGGGTATTTTAGTCTTTTAACAACATTCAAAATTTCCTAATAAGGCCTCTTGGCCTAATTAATAATTTATTAAAAGTGTAAGCCTTAATTTGGATTTTGATATTTCAACTAGATTTAATCAGAATTCCCCCTATAAAGAAACTGCATGAAAATTAACTTAATAACATTGGATTAAAAGTAAAGATTTTATCACTTTCGCATAAATCAATAAATAAGCAGAAATATCAATTGCACAAAGTGTTTTTAATTTTTTTTCTCTATACTATTTTTTTTATCAATTCTTGTAATTTTTTTTCTTGATCTTGTTTTGTGTGTTAACATTACTAACAATTAAAACATTATTAAAATTAAGAGAATGAAAATTTTTAGATATAAAGATAAATTTAAAATTTTTCATTTATCTTATCATTTTGTTATTTTTAAAAAATTAAATTGTATTTATTCAAATCAATTAAAACATGTTTCTTAAATTTAACTATGTAATAATATATATGCATGTAGTAAAATAATTTATAAAACAAACAAACTAGAGTTTTTTGAAAAGATAGAGAGAATTTTTATTGAAACTCAAATAAAGACAAAGATAAAAATTAAATAAATATTTTCATTTCATTTTATATTTATTTTGATTTGATTTCAATAAATTTTGTTGCAAATATTTATGAAAAAAAGATTATGAATCATTTTAATAAAAACTAAGGAGATTATAAAAAAAAAATTCAATGGAAGGTGTGATGAGAGAAAATGTAAGAATTTAGTTAATGATAATTTAGTATTTTTAAAATGTTTGATTCTTAGAAATAATTGTAGTTTGTAGGATCTTTCTCAATAAATATTATTTTTTCTACTTTTTTCTTAATTAATAATTCTTAATACTTATATTATGTCAATATATTTATATTTTTCCTTCTAGTTCTGATACTGACTAAAGGAGAATACTAGAAGGAGAAAAAAGTAGTATCAAATTAATACAATTCTTAATCGATTTGATTGAAATCAAAATGGTTAAAAACAAAAAAATTTATTAGGTCATTTGAAAAATTATACAAGAATGTAAAGAAACTAAATGAAAATTATTTCAATAATCTAAGAATGAAGAATAATCTTTTGCATAATCTAGGAGAAATTCTTATATACTTCTATAGTGTCACGTCATCCATACTCTCTCTAATGAAAACGTTCCTATAATTATTTTTTCATGAGTATTTAAAATTTCTAACATAAGAGGTCATGAAGAGAGAAAAAATAATCAAGCGACATTTGTGAGCTATGGGAACCAGAAAAAGATTACTAGAATATTTTCATCAGAAAGAACATGCATGATGTGGTATTTTATGAACATATAAAAATTTCTCATAGTCTAATTATATATTTTGAGTGAGGCTATGTGAAGGAAGTTTTGTTCAATTTGATAATGAATAATTTGAAAGTGTTTTCAATATTAGTTGTTACAAATATAACCCTAATTTTAAAGTTAAATTTGATGAACCTTTCTCTCTTGAAAGAAAGGACAATCTAAAATAAATGTATATCTTTCCTTTTTTTATTCTTTCCGTATTTTTATTTTTTTATAATTTTTTTATTTTAATACTTTTATCCTCCATTTCATGGTATGCAAAATTGTTGAAGGCTTCCCTTAACAGTTTGAACATCTTGACTCACGTCTTTCACAACTGAATACACAATCTCCTAATAAACTAATTTTTGATGCATCCAGTAATAAGCATACTGTATACTACTCAAAAAATAATTTAAGGTGATAGATGTACTAAAAGTTAATAAATTTATGATAGTAAATAGTAATAAAAAATGTCGTAAGTTGATGGATATGTTAAAATTAATAAATTTAGAATACTGGTGTTACTGAACAAATATTTAGGATGCTAAAAAGTAATGAATTTAGGATATAAATGCTTGGTGAAAAATATTCGAAGGATAGGATGTAACTTAACCCAAATCATAAATCATAAAAAATAAAAAATTAATAAAATCATAAAAATCTCCTAATAAACTAATTTTTTATGCATCCTACTTTGTAGTAATAAACATACTGTATACAACTTAAAAAATAATTTAAGGTGCTGAAAAAATGTTGTAAGTTGATGATGTGCTAAAATTAATAAATTTAGAATACTGTTACTATTGAACAAATATTTAGGATACTAAAAACTAAAAAGTAATGAATTTAGGATGTAGGTGCTTGATGAAAAATATTTGAAGGGTGAGATACAACTTAACCCAAATCATAAAAAATAAAAAATGCGTACCTCATGCATCTTCTCATACGCCGTGCCTGATAAAGTGCTAATACATGCGGACCCATATATAACTTATAATTTTTAAAAAATAATTCTTGAAGAAAATAAAAGAATACAATAAAAAGTTTCGTCACTCAAAAAAAAATATAATAAAAAGTTTATAAAATTTTGTACCTTTTACTCTAATTGTATTTTTTTTGGGTAATTTTTTTGCATGTTACTTAAATTGTATTTGTAATTAATTAAATACATTAAACACAATAGACGAATTATGAATGAAAAAAAGGGGAGCCGTCAAGAGTTAGGGCAACCTTGGAGCGTATTCTAAAGTTGCTATATAAGCCTTGCGTTAACCTGCCCGGCGCCTCCTCTCACTCTGGATCGTGGAAGCCGAAGACTTGGAGCTAAGGTCGATCTGAACTCACCGGCTTCTGCTCATCTTTTGGTACGTTCGACGTTTCTCTCCTTTTCGTTGTTACATCCATTTTCCCGTGCCGGTGATATTTCCCTTCTCCTGTACTGAAGACTCAATTTTTTAGCTCATCTATTTGGGCTCTTTAAAATCCAAACTCAGACATATTCTACAATGCAACTGCTCCATGGAATTTTTTTTCCCCCCTCGATCTCCTTCGTGTATTAGTTTTAGTGGATTTGCGTTAACATTGAGAATGTCAGTTGATTATTTTGAAGTTTTTACCCTTTTTTTGTTTGCTCCCCAGTGTTTGAAAATTGAAGTGGTTTTAATGGGAGGCGTTTTATATTTTGTGGAAAAATTTAGAATAGAGTGACGATTTCACATTTTTCCTATTTATCATTTTGATTCCTCGTCAGTGGTAGTTTGAGATAATTGTATGTTTATTTTTATACAATTGATGTGCATTGTTATAGTATTCAATGATAGGGCAATTGATATTTTTCTGTGGAAGTATTCAAGAATAGGGCTGAAATTCCCATTTTACATTTATCTTCTGATTCTTCGTTAGTGAAAGTTTTGCAATGAGGGTTCTGTTTGATTGACTCTTTTTGTGCTATCAGAATAGTGTATGTTTTGATTAATTCTTGCTTACCTAAGCTGAGGAACCCAATGCAGACTGTCCAGTGACCTTTAGCAGCAGTTAGTTCAAGTTTATTCTGTTTCTATTACCATGGTTAAAATCATGAAAATAAATTTACCTAATAAGCAATTGTTTTGGCATAAAACAGATTGGCCAAAATGTACACTTCAAGAAAGAAAATCCACAAGGATAATGATGCTGAACCCACTGAATTTGAGGAGACAGTTGCACAGTACCTATTTGATTTGGAGAACACCAATCAGGAGCTGAAAAGTGACCTGAAGGATCTCTACATAAATCAAGCTGTGTAAGCATGTTGCTATAATCACTTGTGTAAGTCTAATTTTTTTTATTTTTTATTTTGGTCACAACTCACAAGAGCAAACCATTATGCAGTCAAATGGATGTTGCTGGGAACCGCAAAGCTGTTGTTATCTATGTACCTTACAGATTGAGGAAGGCATTCCGCAAGATTCATCTCAGACTTGTTAGGGAATTGGAAAAGAAATTCAGTGGAAAGGTTGTTGTCCACAATGCTAAACAATGTTTAGGAATTCATGTGCTGTCAAGCATCTCTCTCTCTCTCTCTCTGTGTTTGTTGTTTATAATGCAATGTACTGTGCCTACTGTGTCCCATTACACTTGGCTGTTTGAAAGTTTTCATGGATAACTAGAGTGCTTTTGCTGAAAATCATGCTGAATTGCAGGATGTTGTCGTGATTGCTACGAGAAGGATTTTGCGGCCACCAAAGAAAGGTTCTGCTGTTCAGCGACCTCGCACCCGCACCCTAACAGCTGTCCATGATGCCATGCTGGAGGATGTTGTGCATCCTGCTGAGATTGTTGGCAAGCGAGTCAGATATAGGGTTGATGGATCAAAAATAATGAAGGTGAGTTCTTTTTAATGCATATTTTGTCCTGCTTCTCTTTATATTATAGTGATCTTCTAATATTCATTTATGATATTTTTAAACTCAGGTATTCCTGGACCCTAAGGAGCGCAATAATACTGAATACAAGCTAGGAACTTTTTCTGGAGTTTACAGGAAGCTTACTGGGAAAGATGTAGTATTTGATTATCCAATCACTGAAGCCTGAAATGCTTCTTCGTTTGATGGAGTCTGTATTTTAGTGCAGTGTTTTATTTCTAGCAATATTACGAGTTTTGTTTTATGCCGTTCGAAATTTTGATTTTTGGACTTGGATTTCTCCGTCATCACATTGAAACAAAGAGTATTTAGTGATGCGCCTGAATTTAAAATTGAATTCTTTTTTGGGTAATCTTCCTGCTTGATAGTATGTTATGCTGGTGGTCCTGGCAATTTCGGATTTTCAGACTCTTATAATGTTTGTGCTTATTCAGAAGTTCTAAAACATCAAATATTTTTCCTTTGTAGCTCCTATGAGCAGATGATAATAAAAAAAATCTCAAGTTTTCGTTTTCCTCTTTATTGAAAGAATTTAAATTTTGGAGTAAACAAGTTGTCACATAATGGCTGAGGGAAAGACAAAGTGGAAAGCTGCAGTGACAATGGGTCTTTTCCATGCTCGTACTTTGTTGCAATATTACATATATTCAGTAATACTTTCCAACTACAATTTCATTGTGATTTGTTATAAATTCTATATTTCATATTAATATTGATATTATTGAGAGTAATATAAATTTCTGTGTTAAAAGGTTGTTTGGGTATTGTTGGCCAAAAAGGCGTATTATTTATCTTACAGGGGCATGAGAATCCCATGTTGCGAATGCACAGCTCATCATTATTTTGCAGAAATTACCATCCAACGCTGAAAAATTGTCTGGTAAAATCTATTTTCCCACAGTTGTCAGCATTAAGATTTGAAAATCACAGTTCGTGTTGTTTACATGCAACGAGTACTAGAGTATGTGGCATGTCATATTTTTAATCTAATGATTGTAGGTCCAAAGTGGCGTCCGCTTAGGCCTTTTCTCATACCTGGAGCTTCACCATTACTATACAGCATGTTTGGCCCGTTGATCTGTGAAGTTATTCGATAGAAAACTATAAACATAACTAGATCAGTTTAATCCAACACTTTCCAGAAAAAAAATATGAACAAACAAGTTCAATGGAAGTATACATATGAAGATATTGGCTATATGCTATCTTTTATTGGAAACTAACCAATTTTTTTCCCAATATACTACTACATTACTATGTTGTGATCACAGTGCTTTTTCCTGTATACCTCTTGTCACTCTGAAAAACCAAACTCAGAATTCCAGACTTGGCTGACAGAAGGCTTTCCTAAGCCTCGGAAGCTTCAAAGAATTCACCATTAACCCCAGCCCTATACAGAATCAAGTCTGATGCTTCACTTATACAAACTACGGTGTTTGCAGCAGCCAAAATGACATCTCCTTCGGCAGCAATATAGACTCTGAGTGATCCTCCAACTTTTATAATCGCTTCCCCATCAACGACCAGAAAGATGGAAGGACCTGGGACTGCTGGGAAGGTCACTGATTCACCTTGAGGGACAACACAGCGATCAATCTCAAATTCATCGAATGGTGGGAGGTACCTTGTTACATGTGAATTTATGGGAATTCCTCGCAGGATCTCAGGGGGCCCCTGCAAGAGAAGATGGCTTCAGATCCTTTAGTCTTACATATTCATGCCATTGCCATTACTACAGGTCAATCCATTCCTCAAAAAGTCAAACCTATCACATGATTGATGTTCCTGTTTCTTCCCCTTCCCGTCAAAGGAAGGAAGACGCATCACTTTTCCATTATTCTATTCTATCATGAAAAATCATGGGGAAAAAAAAATTAAAACAAAACAAAATGGCAGTCTCCACATGCTAGAGCATTCATCATGTATCACTTACCTGCTTGTATGTGAGCATGGAACAAAGAGTCTGGACATCTCTGTGTTTAGGAGTAAGGCCAGCTCGCACGACATTGTCTGAAGTTGCCATGCATTCGATGCACTCACCACTTATATAAGCATGTGGCTCATTTGGCCCAAGGCTCAGGGCTTCACCGGGATTGAGTTTCATGTAGTTCAGTAAGAAGGCTGCTATGACACCAATATCACTAGGATACTGCTTTTCTAACCTCAGCGCTAGTTTCTCCTTATCTGTCAACTCCCTCACCTGATTAAAAGTGAAACCGTTATTATTTATATATATATATTTATATATACTGAATTGATTTTGAGGAACAATAACATGAAGTGAAAAATAAATTTGCTTTTTAAGAAGTCATTGCAACTCGGACCGATGGATAGACTGTTGGATATCGAAGGGTAGCTACAATAGTAAACAATTCAAAGGGGAAATAAACATAACAATGATCAGACGACTTTCAAAAGTAATCACCCAACCTGACTTTCTTTGATCAGACGACTTATCAATCTGCCTACTGATTCAGTGACTTCCTTTTTATCTGCGAACATGAGCCGGGTAAACACTGCCGCCAATTCACGTTTTATAGTCTCTTCGTTATCTTGATCAGTGAGTCCAAAGATTGGTAATGCATCTCCAAAGCCAACCAGTTCCATAACCTCAGGTACAGTACGAATCACAACCTTCAGCTCCTGAGTAAAAATAACACCGAAGATTGCTTACTTGGTTCACTGATGACAATGCTCCAAAGACAATAAAACAACATTTTTTATTTGCATCTACCAAAAGGCCAGGTCCAGACATCGGGAAACTCTTCGAATTACACAAAAATGAAAGCTCTGAATATGTAGTAAGATCAAAGCATATGTATTACAACTTTTTGAGTCATAAGTTAGATGAAGTATTATATATGCGAATATTCCAGAGGATAGCAGATTCCATAAGCTTTCAGAACAATTAAAAAAAAAAAAAGTATAATTCACTGAAAGGAGAAAGAGAAGAAGACAAAAAGCATTGGCTTCTCTTCTGTAATTCTATAGTCATATATGAATAACAATTAAAATTCATGGAGCTCGAGTTTTGCTAATGTTTGAAACAAAAAATTTTCAACTCGCGTTTGAAAATGATGCTTCATGAACAGCCTAATATGTCAACTTTCGGAATCATTTTTCAACCAATAACACATATTTTTCTGAAAAAAATTAACTTCCGCGAACCCAACCCCATATCATATTACGGGCTCTAAATTGACTACTGTAAGAACAATAAAAGCTTGGAAAGTGATTAACTCAAAACTCGTCAAGTGTAGTCAGATTGTAACTGAAGGTTTTGAATCTCAGACAATCAATAGTAGCTTAGACCTGCATGCTGATCTCAACGATTTGTATATGCAAAGCGAGTTTTAAAAAAATTAAAATAACAGCGGCAAAGCCAATATCGTTTACTCCTAATTTGTATATTATAAACGATTGTCATTGATCTTTTCACATGATTCTCCTCATCATTAATTGGCCATCACTGGTACGCTCAGATAGAATCCTGTGAACAAGGAGTTACGAGATTAAATTGACTGTGAAAATCACAGAATGGTCCAAATTAAAATTTTATTAATTAAATCCTCTAAAATAATTTAAAAATCAAAATTTTTAATATCTGTTTTTAAATTTTCTAATGTGATAAAGTCAACTGTGATTTTCTTTGGCTTAAAAAAGAAAAAGAAAACCGTAAATTCCGCAAAAAATATGTTAAAAAAAAAAAAACTTCTGTAACAACATTACGGAAGTCTACCCAACAAGGGAGTTATTTTTCCAAAAAAGCAAAAACTGAAGTGCAAAACTACCGAATTTAAAAATGGATGATTAATCACCCAAAAACACAGAAGATTAAAATATTAATTTCTTAATAAATCCAAGCAGACTTTAAATTTTCCAATCACCATCAATAGCGATACTTTCTGACTTCTGAGAAAAGGCTCAAGATATTCCGACTCACTTATCTTATAGTTCATATGAAGGAATTAAGGATCAAACATAAGAAAACAAATTTCTCCGACAAACAGATAAAGAATTGTTTATGACAGCGTCACTGAATAACATATCAGTTTTAATTTCCCCTGATACCCAAACTCAATGAAAGTAAAATAAAAGATTTGACGAAATACAATGAGTACCTCCAGAGAGATAAACCCACACAGAGCTTCAAACTCGGTCATTGCCAAAGCCATCTCAGGTTTGTGATTCCCGTCCTTATACAGATCAGGATACAATTTATGCAAAGTTCTGGCTAACTCTTTATCTGGATGAGCCTGTATGGACAACGCCTTTGCCACCGAGAGTACCTAAAACACAAAGAACCACCACAAGAAGTTCACAATTCAATACCATTCTTTAATTTCATATCTAGACCTCGAATTGGAGTTATCATATATACCTTGAACAAGAAAGGGAGATCACAGCCCCATTTTCCAAGAACCTTCTCGCCAAGAGCATTAGGATTCTTCGACAGCCACGACTTAAGGGTCATATTTTCATCACCAGAGAGCAGGAAAGATGGGCCAGAGTCATGCGTACCCATCCAAAACTCAGCGTAAGGCTTGTCGGGTTCGGGTTCGGATCCGGAATTCAGCGAAAAGAGCCTTGCGACTTGAGAGTCTCCGGCCAGTCGGCCCCAATCGTAGTTCTTAACGGAGCATCGGAGCATCAGAAGCTTATCCTCCGTTTCCATTATTGCGAGAACAGAAACTTCCACACGGAATTGCAAGGAAGTGAGGAATCGAACTTAAGGTGAGGGAATGGAGAAAAGGGAAGTGAATGCGAATTGCGAAGGTGGGTATGTGACCGTCCCCGCTTATGCTTGCTGCTATTTGAAGCGTTTGGGATGGCACCTCCAGGGACAGAGAGGAAGACGAAGAGAGAGAGAGAGAGATAACGACGAGTAAGGAAGACGTTAGAGAGAGAAAAAGAGAGGCAAGTGGGGTATGATTCTGTTTTTGCAGTTTCGTTTCTTATCCTCAAGCGAGTCGTTCTCGAAGAGCACGAAATTTCTCAATCTGGAAGGAAACTCAAGTTTTCATACTTTTTTAAAGCAGAGAAACTCATTTTTCTTCCAAATACGGCTGTAATAAATAAACGAAAATTTATATATAATAAATTATATAAATAAACAATATATAAAAATAGGACCAGGAAAAAAACTTGGAAAAAAAGGGAAGAAGATAATTTTCAGCAGAAAATAAAGTATGTTCCATGTAAATCGTTCACACACAAACACTGCATCACAAAACCAGAATTATATTATATGTTATCCTTTTATATTTAATTCAATTATACTTACGTTTTTCATTTCAAAAAATTACATTCCGTATTCAAGTCTATTTTATGTTATTAATAAAATCCTCTACAGTACAGCGTATAGATGTCACAACATAAGTAAAAAAAATTAATTTAGTTATATTGTTAATTATATAAGAATAAAGGTAGGAAATTTATGGGGGTTAAAATTTTTTAACATGCTAATTAAATATAATAACATAAAAATTTAAAAGGTAGTTTTAAATTTTTTACATTAGGCAGCATAAAAATGCTTTTGCGACCAACAAGCACGGGATGCTTTATGAATTTTCAAGTTAGTCATAGAATTATTATATTTATACGGTCGAGTTAAAATTAAGAAAATAAATAAAGCAAGTGAGTTTTGGGAAAAAGGGATTGTGACCCCAGAAAGGTTTGTTATGGAAGGCCAGCCACGTCTGATAGACAGAGGCACGTGAAATGCATTATTTTAATGTGCCTGAAACGACAAAGTAGAGCCCCGTTTTCTCGTAAAGAGAACCGAAGAGGTGATGCTAAACGACGTCGTCATTTCAGGCGCCGCCCGGACCGTCTGGGAGAGGTTGCATTAGCCTAGCAGGCGCCCATAGCGTGACAGAGTGGGTCCCATTCCCCTTCCCGGCAACAGACAACAGAACCTGTTTAACGCGACATGGAGACTAGTATTAATTTCTGATAAGGGCTGCATAAAAGCTCAAAAAAATAATTATTAAATTTTAAAATTTTAAATTAAAAATTATTATAAAAATATGTTGTTATTTACTTTTCAAGTGTATTAATTTTTTTACAAATATAATAATCAATACTGATTTAAAATATTAAAATTTAACAGTTATTTTTTTTTAGATTTTTTCCAACTCATTTTGAAAGGTCAAAGAACCTAGATAAATTGATTAATTATAATAAATGTATGTTAATTTTTTAAACTACTTTTTTAATTACATGTAGTATTGGAACTATTTTTTTGATATAATTCTTAATAATTAATATATTTTTAAAAAAATTAATTAAAATTTTATATTTAGGATCAGATCTAATTTCGAACTAAGTCTAATATTAACCACTGGATGCTTTGGATCAAAGCTTCTTAGTAAATTCAATTGGCAGACTATCAAACAGTGAAAAAGAAAAACTATCTTCTGAGGCTTTGGTTTGGAAGTATTTAAAGAAATAAAAAATTCTAAAAATTCTGAATCAATACCTCAAATTTCAATAATTTCAAATCAGTCCTTATGCTAAAACGAAAATTCGAAATGTCTGTATTTTACAATATTATTTCTTTATCTTTGGAAGCGGAAAAAAAGAAGAAGAAGAAGAAGCTACCTTAGAACCCCCAACCAGCAACTGGGATTTATTTTGGCAAATTGGCTAATGAATTGAAGTGTTATCAATATCCTGAAATAAAAGCCTTTTTTATTGTTGTCATTTGTTAATCAAGCATAATAAGCAGTGAATGAATTGTATCAAACAGCAAAGTATAAAATGCATATTGACAAAATATATTTTCAAATTTCACATCAAAATGTTTCAAGATATTTTACATCATTTTATTAGTTATTTATTGCATTTTATTTGGTCCAAAATATAATAATTTAATCTATTTTGTCTCCCAAATTTATAATTTTTTCCCTACTATTCATATTGATTATACATGTTAAAAAGGTATGAATAATTTCAACACAAATAATTAAAAAGAATATTTTAAAAAACCAAGACTTATTTTATATAAATAACTAATTTTTTAAATCTTCACGAATTAGTTTTTTAGCTCTTGCATCATAATTTGGAGCAAGTATTATCTTTTTTAAGACTAATGTAATATTGTATTCTTTTAATCACCAACATTAGTTTAATTGTTTTGTGTAAATCTGGAAGCTTTTTTTAACAGTAAATATTAAATAAAAGCAATGTAACACCAATTTTCAAAAGATTGCGTTACCACGACTCTCACTTTTCTAAGATCCTCATAACTCTTTTAGCATGTACTTTCAAAACAAAAGTGCGTATTTAAAGTATAAATACACGTACAAATATATCTCAGTTTCAGTCCCACGTTTAAGACCTAGCTCGTTCTAACATGACGAGTGATGTTTATAACGCTCCACCTCCAGATATAGATACTTGTTAGTTGATGTAAGCTAGTTTGTATTTTCTTATTGAACTTTTATATTTTGGATCAAATTAAATATCAAATCAGTTGTTATATTAAAAATCAGAGAAGGTAATATTTCTTATATGATTTGACAATAACTTTTATATTCCCAAATTGTGATTACTAGTCAGTTGATAGTTGAAAATGTTATATTTCAAAATTTCAATGACAATAGCTTCTTTTCCTGGTGGAGAGCTTGGAGCCCTTTCCTTTTAGGTTCTGTGTACTCTGTTGGTTTTTGACTCAATAAAACGATATTTCTAGGCTGAATAAGAAAAAAAATCCAGGATGGAAAAGAATAATCTAACACAGCATAAAAAGACCCTGTGGGCAAGTCAATCTCAACATAAACATGGGGCCAAGTCAATGTTTTAACGTAAAAAATGGTGTCAGCAACAAGAGAAAATAATGTTAAGAGGACAAACTCCTAAAAATAGTAAAAAAATTTCTTATTTTGAGAATTTAATTATAGTTAATTTAATAGTATTTTTTAAAATATATTATTCTCTCTTCGGCCTTTTTTTTATGAATAAATAAAAAAGACAAAATAAACTGGAATTTTATATTTAAAGTCAAATTAAATGTTAAATTAATTCTTATATTAGGGACCAGCTAATTCAGCTAGTAAAATGCCATTCTATCTTAACTTGTAACTCATTCTTGTATATCAAGAAAATTATTAAATTGACAAGATTTTCTAATTTTATTTTCATTAATTTTTTTTCTTTCTCTATATTTACAAACCGTTCTCATATCTCTCACCTCTTTCTCTCTTTTCAATGACTTATATTAAATATTAAATATTGTATTTAGAATTAAATCTTTTTATTACATTTAAAAACAGAATGGTATTATTCAATGTTTATCTCATAGTACTATTTATAGAAAGAAGAAGAAAAATCAAAATATAACAATTAATGCACAGGAAATAAGAGGCCAGGTGGAGACGGGAAAGGGAGCGTCAAATACATCACAGTCATAAATTATGAGCTGATAACTAAGCCAGTGACGATAAGATAACATCAATCGCAATTGAGTGCGCATTGGCGTGGGACCCCTATCTCATGGTAACGACTCGGGGGTCGTTTTATCTGGAAAAAGAAGAGAAGGAAAAAAAAACCATGTGTCTTTGATGAGATAAGTATTTGCGTCATCTCATTTATAAATTATTTTTAATATATTTTTTAAAATAAAAATAAATGAATTTGTCATCTCATTTTTAATCTTATTTCTCACCGATTAAAAAATATTCACTCCCGTTCACGGTATAAGCTTCTTCTAAAAAATGATTTAATCCAACATATAAATCATTAATACTTATTTGTCAATTTTGTTTTTATAATTAACGATTAATGTAACTTTGTGTTTTTCTCTTTCCTTTAGAATCTCATTTTATATGGGAAAAGTTTAAAAAAAATTAATTTTTAATTTAAAACAAATTTAATGAGCAAACTACCATTTTTTTTGGGTTCAAGGCATTGTGTCGGTAACTATCATGTTTTCTTTATACTGATAAATTAGTTAAAATGATTTTTATTTTTGCTAAAGTATAGGTATTCTCTTGTTAGCAGCAATCTTATTCAAGGCACTATTATGCACTAAATGTGGGTAACTCTCCCAATAGTGATTGAAATCTTAATTTACCATATTGTAAAGGACTAACACCTTCTATTAGATCCAACTCCCGTTGATTAGTTAAAATGATTTTTATCGTAGATGGGGGCTACATTCCAATTGCACAAGCTGGTCAAGTCTATGGCCCAATGTTATGGGACAGACTACGATTGTGCATATTTTTCAAAAACTCAAGGCATGGCAAAGCTTCTTAAGAGTTAAGAGGCCCTGAAAATATCCAGTTTCAAGTACTATACATGGTTCAGGTCCAAAAAAAAAAACAAAAGGTACTATACATGGTGCTCCAATCAAAACCTGTGATCTTGAGTCACATTGAATCATTGCTTAATAATTTAAGTAGTTAATACTGTGAAAGTAACAACATAGTAGTATTACCAAAAAAAAAAGCTCATAACATTGTAGACAATTCTGTTTACAACACTGTCGAGTATTAAACGTGGACACCTCTCTCACTAAAAATTTGAACATTAATTCATCACAATCTCTTTTGCTAAACCCAACCTCTTATTGCTTATCGTTTTATTATTATGAATAGTGATATTGATCTCCAATTTGCAGGCAATACAGCTTATATATAGTGATGTGATTTTTTAAGGACTCTGATGTCTTCATGACTTACATTTTAAACGTATATGACAAATAAAGTACTAGTATATGGCAATACGGTTTTTTTCTTTTTTAATTTACACGTGTACGTATCCCACAGTTACGCCAAAGTTTATACTTTCCAATCGAAAGTCTTTGTGATAAATGAAAGGGAAAATGACAATTAAGTCCCA